TCGCCGTGCAGGTCGCACTCACAAGGTGCTGTATTCACCAACGCTGGAGCTGTGACGTCCGCTTTAAACATTAGCATTTATAAAATAACAAACGGATATCGATCAGGCTACACATAACAACTGTTATTCACGTAGATATTTTTATGTCATTTATATATCTAAAGATGTCTCATCCGTAAACATGTGTCATCCATAAACATGTATCTAAAGATGTCTCATCCGTAAACATGTACCTAAGCTGCTTCATCCCTTATCTAATCCAATAGCCAGTCACCAAAATCACCATTACTCATTCCGAACCTTGTCATCTTCCGAACTTTTCCCACTACTTCTTCATATCCAAAGGTCATTTCTCTCAAACCCTTAAATAGCCCTACCCTCTCATCCTGAGGCAGTCAGCAATCGTCTGAGTTACTGTGCGTGTCTACTTTGTATCTTGCAAATAAATTGATTGTTCCTAGTGGTGATTTCAAGAGTTCAACAATTATTTCAAAAAATACACGCCTTACGTGACAACATAACGGACGCAAACTACCATAATTTGGCGCGAAAAAAAGACCACGTATCACAAAGATTTGTGGTTATAAAAGTGGTTGTAAAAGTTGTGGTTAATAATTTTCGAAAATTAATTGGAAATTTTAAGAAGAAGGGGAGCATACTGTAGTGTATACAATACAGACAGTAAAGAGATAAGTAAATTTCAATAATATTCAATAAAATGAACTCGTATTAATTGCATTTATTTATTCTAGGTAATGTAAATATTTAAATCATATTTATTATATTATGAGCACTATTGAGGCGGAAAGTGCTTGTAAAACCAGACGGATGTCACCGTATGGAAAAGACACTGCACACCTCTTTTTACATTTGAACGCGCTATTTGATACTTTAAATAATGGGACCATTTTCGACTATAGGAATAACACTACGGACTTTTGGAACAAGTCGATTGACTTGTTTAAGTCGATGAGTTCTATCAAACGCAAGGCGGGTGATACTCTTACGGGTATTCAAAATTTTGTGCGGTTATTTGAAGGATCTCGGCTTCACCCGATTCAAAACTAGAGAATTCAATTAAGATCCTTTGGAAAATTTTTCGGTGGAATAAGGCAGCATGGCGTTAGGAATATAAACCCAACTTGTACTGCATTTGTAGGCAGTTACAAATCTTTACTAATTAATTCCTATTTTTCAATTTCAGGAAAGCAAAACTGTGAGGAAGATTATATTCAAAATATGTTGTCAGTTAAATCGTTTCTAAATTCCACCTTTTGCACTCCATCTGTTTCAGAAAGTAGTATACCTGTTGTAGCATTAGAATCAATCGAATTAAAGTTAGAATCTGAAAATATAGATGCTACAACAGCTGATGTTCATCTCATAGAGACAGCCATACAAGCCTGTGCTTCGTGCTGTGAAATATTAATAAATCAAAAAAAAATCATAAATTCTTATTTGCGAAAGGTTTATGTTATTGTACAATATTTTTTTGATCATTTCTCCAATTTACCTAATTTTAATAGAAATATTGTATATTATTTATCTTCCACAGTTATTGCTAACTTGAACGACTGCCCACAAGAGCATTTTAGAGATTATCTTTTGAATACCTATGTATCTTTATCCATAAGGAAATGTATTTCTAACGCCAATAGACTTTTGACCGCTTCTGAGGAACATTTAGTCCCAGTGCGAGGCCTAACAGCACTTGCTG